TCCAGAATGTCCAGATCCTGGAATAGATGCTTTTATATTTAGAACATGTAATAGATTTTTTTTAAATGGCTCGCATGGGCAGATGCTTTTTTTTGGGAAAGGCAAACTTCCTGTTCTCTAAATAACAGCGAAAGAAGGGTCTAAGAAATGTTCTGCTCAACAGTTTAATGGAATTAGGTTTGAGTTCACTGTCCCCAAACCACTCACACACCTTCCTTTTCTTTATCAGTCTGTAGTTTCTAAGGGACCACAACTCTCTTGTGGCAACTTCTTCATCTTAATTTGCTCCTGTTTATACTGGTGTCTGGTGTCTCTTTCTTTATTCTTTTAGTATTCTCTGAATTCATGTAAATGCCTGGGGACTAATTTTTCACATTGTGGGTTATTTTTGAGGTGCTTAAGGCGATTCTTTTGACATTTCTAATTCCTACCCTTTCTTTAAACAAGTGATGGGGGGGGGGATAGATGAGAGAGAAAGAGAGAGAGAGAGAGAGAGAGAGAGAGAGAGAGAGAGAGAGAGATTGATTAATGGAGCATCCAGTCATAAGACAATCGATGGCTAAATACAGTGATTCTCATACATGGTCCTGCATAGAGCCTTGGTCATTACATGAGTTGCCTTTAGCCAAAGTATTTAAAACTGTGCACACGTGCATACAGAGAAATGATAAGTTAAAACACGACTGCTGTTTGAGAAGCTTTCTTTGAAAAAAATCAGTGGCTAAATCTGAAATTAATGGATAATCCCGGCCCCATCTCCCCCGAATATGTATGGGGATTTTCCAACCCTGAACTCCAGCTTAATCCTAGGTGACAGCTCCTTCTGATGGGAAGGACTAGGAAGTTATGTGTGGATTGACCAGGGCCCGGTGAAAAGAGAAGGGAACACAGAGAGAAAGACCAAAGAGAAAAGAACTCACTTTGTGGGAAATTCATCGCATATTTTTTGTTCTTCTTCTCCTCAGCAGAATCCTTTTCTGGCCTCCTTGGACCGCAGGCACCGGAGGAGAGGCATTCAGAGCCTCGCTGCCTCACTGGGTTCCAGAGGGAGGGAGGTCCCAGAGCTGTGAGAGAGGCTCAGACTAACACCTTGCGCATCCTTTCCTCTAAAGCGGCTCTTCCCAACCCCCAACCCACCGCCTCGTTCAGACGCGGGGTAAACCCAGGCTGTTTCCTCTCCTCGGTTGTGTCTGGTTGCCATTCTGCTGTGCCCACTTTAGCCGGCTACGAAGCCCATGTACCTAAAAGCTCACAGATTGCCCTCTTCAATGCAATGGTGCTGGGGGGAGGGGTTGGTGAGGGAGTGGGACCGCCTATCCCACTCAAAGGCCTTTCCTCCCTTAGGAGCAGAGAGTTGAACTGCGAGAAAGAACCCCAGAATACCTGGCGAAAATGCGTGGCGGTCTGTGGAAGGAGCCAACTTTCAGGCTGTTAAAGACCTCATGTCATTAGCATCAGCTGCTGCCCTACAGGGGCCAGCCAGCGCCTCTGAGTGGCTTAGCGCACAGGGAGCTCCGGAGGCAGCCTGATCACTCCACCCACTCTCCCACCACCGGCTGGACGGCAACACCCCTCCGGAGCACATCTCGGTAATGATCTTTACTTTGACTCCCTCCTCCCGTCTCCTCTACCCCACCCCCCACCTCTGGAGGTCTTAGACTGCGGGCGGACCCCAATGTGGAACCCCGTCAGGGACTCTGCAGAATGCGCAGGGCAGAGCGGAACAGCGGGAATAGTTTGAGGACTATAACCTGGGTCCATCCCACCCATCTTCTCCTCCCCGCTTCCCCACCCGGGGACTGACCCGGGGACTGGTGTCCCGGGACCAGGCGACCCCTATCAATCCCCTTAGGCCTGGCAGCATCTCCACACTCGCTGCCTTGCCCCATCTCTCGCTCCGCAGAGAGGCAGAGAGAGAGTGGGCCAGAAGCTCGCCAAAGCGCACCCTTTCTGATGCTTGCTTGCTAGGAAGAGCTTGGTGGGGTGCATGCGAGCTCCTGGAGAGAGAGAGCTGGGGCTGATTTATCAACCCCAGGCAACTAGCTGCGCGGAGGACCAGTGCCGGCTCAGGGGCCAGAGAATCCATCCCTCGGGCTCAACCGAGACCCCCTTCCCCAGCACAGAACTCCGACTCCAGGAAATGCGCCCCGGTCGGTGCGGGCCGAGGGTTCCATCTTTCTGTCCGGGGTTCTCCAAGTGCCCAGGGAAACGGGGAAAGGCCCTTACCAGTTACTTCCCTTTGGGACCTCCTTCCCCCAACTGATTCCCCTTCCTACCGGTCTCAGAGAGGCGATGCTTTAGGAGGAGGCGGTGCGCAGAGAGGAGCTGCCACTTGGGGAAGGCAGGCCCGGGAGTGGCTTGCAGGCAGCCAGCGCCAGCGGGAGCGCCCAGCCCAGCAAAGAGTTAACGGGAGGGGACGTGGGCTGTCACGCGTCATTGGGCAGATTATGTGCAGCAAACAAAAAGTGTGTGTCTGCGTGCCAGTCAGTCACTGCATCGGGTCCATCTGTACAACTCTCCTCTCTCTCTCTCTCTCTCTCTCTCTCTCTCTCTCTCTCTCTCTCTCTCTCTCTCTTTTTGCTCTCCCATCATTTCACTCTCCCCATCTCTCCAGCTCTCTGCCCTCTCTTTAGGCAGAGCCTCCTAGACAGCAATACTTACACCCCTGGACATGGACACGCACTGATACAAAAGGCGAAAGAAACACTCGAGAGCATCTCCTCCGGGTTCCAGGAGGCGTTTTTTTTTTTTTTGGCCGTTGCATCCCCGACCTTCTTACTGGTAAGTCTATTTGCATGGATGTGGGAGGGGGAGGGGAGGCAGCAGGTTTGGTGTGGAGAGTGGAAAATTTTTGTGCCTCCGTTTGTTTCCTCAGTATCCAGAAGAGGGGGGGGGGGGAAAATAATCGTAGAGGGGATGTCGCTGCCAATAAGATGATACAAAGGGAGGAGCCGGCACAGAGCACTTTGCCCGAGAAGCGAGCGGCTGGGCTGGGGAGCGCGCGGCCGCCAGACAATGCCTGCCTCCGGGGGAGGGTAGCGGCCGGCGGCAGCGCGGGCTGCCCGGCTCGGGAAGGGATGCAGAAAGGATGTTCGGGCGGGAGAGACCCGGGGCCTGGAGGATGGAGGAGGAGGATGCTGAGCTAGGAGAGGCTAGGTGGCAAAGCCCGCCGCGCTCGGAGGAGCCAGACCCGGCGGCGGGCGCGGACCCCCCTGAGCGGCGCGGGTCTTTGCACCGTATTGTTCGGGGGAGCTGCATCTTAATGACTGCGCCCCTGCTGTTGCCCGACGTGACGGGGCGACCTCCGGGCACAATGAAACGCTTGTGTGAAAGAGACTTTTTTAAAAGGAGAAATTGGGGCAGAAAACACTGAGTTGGGAACATTGAAAAGGATTTCGTGGAAAAAAAGGAGATGAGAGGTTCCAGGGGGTTTTTAAACATATATATTTACATGTTCAGTTGGAGGTGAGGAAGACTACTTTGTGTAGGGTAAACATGCCCAGAGATAGAGGCGGTAGCATAAAGTAAGTTTCTTCTTTAAGGCTATTTCGCTTATGTCTGTCTGGCAGGCACAGCCCTATACTTGACTTTTGGGGGGTGCAGCAGTGTGAATGAAAAAAAAAAAAAGAAGAAGCTGACCAAAGTTTCATGCTCTGTTAACTGGGAAGGGGGAAAAAAAGCACTACCTTGTTATCATATTTGCAAGATTAATTGGTTTATAGACATTACGATAAAAACGGACATTACCAATATTCCGTCATGAACAGTTTCTCAGAAAAAGAATGAAGTCCACACTTTCCTGCTACTTAAGTTATACAAAACATCCATCAATGACTGCCTGTGGTGGGTGGCGTTAGGAGGGAAAAACCAACGTGGGGAAATCTTTGAATCGATCAGAAAGAGTGAACAATGATGCAGTTAGTTCAAAACTAGTTTACATTTTAAACACCAGCTCTGTTTATGTTTTTTTTTTTAATGATAAATCTTGTAGGCAGTGTCCAGTGGCAAAGGAAGAAAAATGTCAAATGACAGCTTAATAGACAGCCCTCCATCCGGGCATTACTTTTCTCAATTGCTGCGGATGCGACAGCTGGAGAGTCCACCCATGGCTACTCCAGCCGGCGGCCCCCTCTTACCCAGACAGGGTCTATCTGGGGGAGCCAGAATTCACCAGTCATTACTCAGGCGGTATTTCAAACGGGGGACACTTCTGGCCTGCCCTTACCTTCTCACTTCAGGAGGCACATGCGACTCAGTCCACCCCCTTGTATAACAAGGTAACTGGGATTCGCCCTCATCCATAAATAAGCATGTCGAGAAAAAAATAATTACCTCTGCTTGCTGCTTCTGATTAAAGCCTCGGAGGGACAGGGTTGGATTATGGTAATGAGCCGGCATACGTCCCCTCTCCTAGGCTGCAGAGAAGGGTTAGCTGACACGGAATCAGTGGCCCTGACACTCTACTTGAAATCCATTCGCCATGCTCTGCTGTCTCCACCTGTTCGCTAATGCTGCTCCCCTCTTTGGAAGAAAATGAAATAAAATCAGCCCGGAAGGAAAGGAGAGGAGCTTTCTTCCAAGAGTTTGAAGTTTGTTTCAGTCAAGAAAGTCTGTAAAAAATACTAGTACTCTCCTCTGCCTTCACCCTTCCCAAATCCTGCCACATCCACCCCCAAGTTATTGAAAAAAAATATATATATATATCATTTCTCATATTCATATCCTCTCTCTCTCTCTCTCTCTCTCTCTCTCTCTCTCTCTCTCATCTATCTACCCTGAAAGCTCCCACTATTCCAATATCGTCTTAAAAGGAAAGTATTCCTTAGTTGGCATCTTCACAATATTTAGGATTCAATCTGCTATTGGCTTTATTTCTGAAATAAGAGCTATACAAAATATCAGGCAAAATTCAAGAAAAATCTGTCGAGTACTTAAAACACTCCATCTGAATTCATAAAAGCAAAAGGAGTAACATAATTCCTGTGCATTTGTCTCCAGTGATGGAGGATTCGGGCATCCAGCGAGGCATCTGGGACGGGGATGCCAAGACTGTCCAGCAGTGTCTGACAGATATTTTCACCAGCGTTTACACCACCTGCGACATTCCCGAGAACGCTATATTCGGTCCCTGCGTCCTGAGCCATACTTCCCTGTATGACAGCATAGCTTTCATAGCTCTCAAGTCCACCGACAAAAGAACAGTTCCTTACATCTTCCGGGTAAGTCTTGGCCAATGCTGCCTAGGGTAGGGGGGGTCATGTCCTGTTGCAAGCACACTAGGAATCATTCTATTGACAAGCTCAGATGTTCTGAAGGTAGACATTGAAATCATGGAAGTCGTTCTATTTTTCACACCAAAAAATTGAAAGGAAACTTAAGTTGTTGTTAACTGATTTTCTGGAACAGATGATAGCATTTGATTTGGAATACCAGGCATGTCTAAAGCAGTGACTTAATTCTGGGCTTTCCTAGTGATTATCTTAACTATGGGAATTTTCAGAAGATTGAGGCTATTTGCATAATAAGTACTTTCTCTAAGTATTTCTCTCCTAAGTTCCTAAGTATTAGGGACATTTGTCTTCCAACATAGCAGGCCTTCTGTCTCTCTAAATAATATGACCCCTTCTGGAAAGAGATAGCTAGTGCCCGGAGTTTGTATTTACATGAAAAATGTTAAAGAAATATTCTTTAAATCCTCACCAGAGGATATTTTTCCATTGATTTTAAAGAGAGTGGAAGAGAGAGGGAAAAACAGAAACATCCATGTGAGAGAAATGCATTGATTAGTTGCCTCCTGCACACATGACTTGACAATAAAATTACATTTAATTCATATGTTTAAGTTTAGAGAAAAAAAGCCCTCTTACTTCCCATCCTTTCTCTACAAATATTGTTTAAGCCAAAATTAGGAAGATGAGTGAAGCCACACAATCATATCTGAGATCTCACCTTTTTATTTCCAAACCAAATCCCCCCACATTTTTGTAATGCGGGATAATTTAGAAGTAAATTCTCAAGAGGTTAACACTAATTTGAATTGGAAGAAAATTTCCTCATTTTATATTCAAGCAATATGAGAAAAAGACTACTTAAATAACCTATGATTGATGCAGATTTCAAAAGAAGACTCTCTTGCCTGCTGGTTACATGCCTGAGGGTGGGTGCCAACTTGGGTCCGGTTTTTGGAATCTTGATCTCAGATAATTCTTTGGAAAAGAATGACATACAGGCAATGGCCCCGGTTCCTCTGGCTTCCCTTTCTCACAAGAGTCTCCCTCCCCAAACCCCTTCCTTCTTGTATTCTTTCTTTTTTTCTACACTGTAGGTAGACACCTCCGCGGCAAGTGGTTCCTCAGAAGGTCTCATGTGGCTGCGTCTGGTCCAATCAGCCAGAGATAAAGAGGAGCAGAACCTGGAGGCCTATATAAAAAACGGACAGCTGTTTTACCGCTCTCTCCGCAGGATTGCCAAAGACGAGGAGTTACTAGTTTGGTACGGGAAAGAACTGACTGAGTTACTCTTGCTCTGCCCCTCTAGACCCCACAGCAAAATGAATGGTAGGTTGGCTCCAGACCTGGAGTGTGGGGGGTAGCTAACCAGGGAGCAAAGCAGGGAGCAGCGGGAGCTCACTCTGACGCCAGTGCGTCCTCTCCTCCGTTTGGACATCTGTCTTAGGAAGCTTCGTCCTTCTCCTCCCTTTGGGCATCTGTCTCTTAGGAAGCTTCGGAGATCTAGTATGTCATGAAGCTGGGGCAGACAGGCGAGGGAAAGTCGGGATGGGGGTGGGGGCGGGGTGGCACTTGGCTTAATGACTGCACTCCCCCCAAATCTGGAGGGAAAGTTAGACCAGTCGCAACGCAAAGAATGTTCTTATTTCAGGCACCCAGGCCCTGAGAAATGAAGGTGGATTTGTGAAGGGGGTGATGATAAACTGGAGACGATGCTGAGTAATCATTTGGTGTGTGTGTGTGTGTGTGTGTGTGTGTGTGTGTGTGTGTGTGTGTGGTGTCTGCTCTCTAAGCAGGGTCGCCCCCTTACACATGCTTGGAGTGCAGCCAGCGTTTTCAGTTTGAATTTCCCTACGTGGCGCACCTGCGCTTCCGCTGCCCCAAGAGACTCCCCAGCGCGGACAGGAGCCCCCACGACGAGCAAGGCGGCGGCGGCATGGGCACCAAGGACCACGGGGGCGGCGGCGGCAAGGACCAGCAGCAGCGGCAGCCGCAGGAGGCCTCGCCCTTGGGCCCGGGTCCCAAGTTCTGCAAAGCCGGCCCCATCCACCACTACCCGGCCCCCTCCCCCGAGGGCAGCAACCCTCCCGCGGCTGGCGGCGGCGGCACCACCAAGCCCTCCACGGACTTCCACAACCTGGCCCGGGAGCTGGAGAACTCGGGGGGCGGCGGTAGCTGCTCCCCGGGCCAGAGCCTGGGCGGCGGCGGCGGCGGCGGCCACCAGGAGGCGGAGCTGAGTCCCGACGGCCCCGCCGCGGGCCCGGGCAAAGGGAAGAGGAAATTCCCCCCGGAGGACGCGGCCGAGGGCGGCGGCGGCGGCGGCGGCGCGGGGCTGGTGGGGGCCCGCGGCCGGCTCCCCGAGCGCCCCCCGCCCGCCTCCAAGGAGGACCTGGTGTGCACGCCGCAGCAGTACCGCGCCGCGGGCAGCTACTTCGGCCTGGAGGACACCGGCCGCCTGTTCGCACCGCCCAGCCCCGAGACGGGCGAGGCCAAGCGCAGCGCCTTCGTGGAGGTGAAGATGAAGAAGGCGGCCCGCGCGGCGGGGCTGCAGGAGGAGGCGGCGGCGGACGGCGGGGACGACCAGGATGCGGGCAGCGGCGGCTCCTCCACGCCCGTGGCCAGCTCACCGGCCGCCGGTGCGGAGAAGCTGCTGGCCCCGCGGCCCGGGGGCCCGCTGCCCGGCCGGTTGGAGGGCGGCAGCCCGGCGCGGGGCAGCGCCTTCACCTCGGTGCCGCAGCTGGGGGGCGCCGGCGGCGCGGGGGGCGCGGGCGCGGGGGGCGCGGGCGGCCCGGGCGCGGCGTCGGACGAGCGCAAAAGTGCCTTCTCGCAGCCCGCGCGCTCCTTCGCGCCGCTGTCGCCGCTGGTGCTGGGCCAGAAGCTGGGCGCGCTGGAGCCCTGCCACCCCGGCGACGCCGTGGGCCCCGCCAGACTCTACCCCGCCGCCAGCGACCCCCTGGCGGCCGTGAAGCTGCAGGGCGCCGCCGAGCTGAGCGCGGGCGCGTGCGCGGCCCTGCCCGGCGGCGGCGGCGGCGGCGGCGGCGGCGGCCTCCCCCCCAAGCAGAGCCCCTTCCTCTACGCCACCGCCTTCTGGCCCAAGAGCGCGGCGGCCTCGGCGGCTGGGCCCCTGCAGCTGCAGCTGCCGTCGGCGCTCACGCTGCTGCCGCCCTCCTTCACGTCGCTGTGCCTGCCCGCGCAGAACTGGTGCGCCAAGTGCAACGCCTCCTTCCGCATGACCTCCGATCTGGTGTACCACATGCGGTCGCACCACAAGAAGGAGTACGCCATGGAGCCCCTGGTGAAGCGCAGGCGGGAGGAGAAGCTCAAGTGCCCCATCTGCAACGAGTCCTTCAGGGAGCGCCACCACCTGTCCAGGCACATGACTTCCCACAACTGACCCGGGAGGGACCCCAGCTCTCCACGCACAGCCAAGCCACCTGTAGGCACAAGCACGGGAGGGTACCCACCGCCTCCCTGTGACCTGAAACATTGCACCCAGAGGGACATCTCTCACACACAAAACTCTTCCCTTCCCCTTCCCCTTCCCCTTCCCCTTCCCCTTCCCCTTCCCCTTCCCCTTCCCCTTCCCCTTCCCCTTCCCCTTCCCCTTCCCCTTCCCCTTCCCCTTCCCCTTCCCCTTCCCCTTCCCCTTCCCCTTCCCCTTCCCCTTCCCCTTCCCCTTCCCCTTCCCCTTCCCCTTCCCCTTCCCCTTCCCCTTCCCCTTCCCCTTCCCCTTCCCCTTCCCCTTCCCCTTCCCCTTTCTCTTCTCTTCTCTTCTCTTCTCTTCTCTTCTCTTCTCTTCTCTTCTCTTCTCTTCTCTTCTCTTCTCTTCTCTTCTCTTCTCTTCTCTTCTCTTCTCTTCTCTTCTCTTCTCTCCCATCCAGTCATCTCATTCAAATGTTTACCTACGACTACACCACACACACACACACACACACACACACACACACACACACACAGGCACAAGCACACGTACACAGGAGAAAGGATGGTGGATTTTTGATCGGGTGGGTTGTTTGAGGGCTTTTTCTTTTCAATGCACGCATTTTTTTTCACTTTCCCCAGAACAAGGATACATTTTTTAAAATGTCATATATTGCAACATATTGATGCATTTGTCATACGTTTCTACTTAAATTATTAAGCACTTACAGTCTAGATGTAATAATTATATGTAAGGGCAAAATTTATTTTAGATATGAAGGAAAGGAGGAGGGTGAGATGCTTTCTGCATTGACCGATGATGATGGTTTGCGTTCTTATAAAAAAGGCGGTTTCAGGGGGAAGTGCATGTATCATGAAATAACTATGGACTTCAATGAAGAATGTCATCGTTATGTAAATATGTATTTCCTTTTCATACAAAGTGTAACTTTTGTGCCGGTGAAATGGAGTCTGAAATAGTTACGTGTTTCTTTTATCCCTGGAAAGATTTATTAAACTTTATAGATTATCCGGGTATGTTGGATGCTTTGACAATAAATGACTATTTTCTTCAGAGCAATTATTTGGAAAGTGTTTTTAAAGTATATTTTTGTAGCCAAGAGCCACACTTGGAGTAGATACCATCTATTTTCACCGAGTCCCTGAAAAGGAGAGCTAGCAGGGGAGGGGTGCTAAACCTTGCCCCACTTGCATTTATTTTCTCTAAGAGCCTAAAAGGGAAATGTCCAGGTTTGGTTATTATTTGGAAAATCTTTAGCTGGATCAAAGGACAAAGCATTTAAACTAAGATGCCTGCCATGAAGTTAACTTATCATTAGGATGTCCCCATTCTTTTCAGCAGCAAAATAATTAGCATCTTTCAACTGGACCGAAGGTAATTTTCAGGCCTGGATCAGGGAAACCAGATGAAAGGCCCAATTAAGGTTCCGTTGGTGATGCTTGTGTGGGAGTGTATCTTGTCCTGCAGAACCTGTTAGCATTCTGTCACTGCCCATGAAGAGGCCTTATGGAGAGTTTCTTCAGAAACCAAGGTGGAAGTACCACAGGAGTCTATACTGCAAGGCCCTGCTTTCCTTCTAAAGACTTGAGCAGCTTCTGGAAAAATAAAAACAAAAGCAAATTAGTTCTGGAGTATTACCATAACTTTCCTTCTCTCCCTGCCTTTCCTCTTCTGAAAAGTCCCTCAATAATCTCCACAGACTGACAAGAAATCTTAGTTAAATGGCGTGTATGTGAGAGTGTGTGGTATATCCAGCAAGCATTGGATGCAAAACCAGATGGATGAGGATCCTTTAGGTCTTAGGATGGCATGAACTTAGTCCATGGGCATTTTGCATGTTTTAGTTACAGACCTGACACCGGTTTATCTGTCAAGAGGTGTTCCCTTCCACACACACCCCCCCCTCCTTCCTTCACATCTTGCCCACCTTCTCCTGTCAGAAGGAGGACATTTATGAAACGGCCTGAAATGGGAAACTTGCACATGATCTCATTGTAGACATGCAAAGCTTTCCCACAAAGGATTTAAAGGCTTTGTTATGTTAAGGTGATTGCAGAACAAGTTATGATTAGGGCAGGGGACAGGTAAAGTCTGGGGGTAGGGCAAAGAGATGGAATGTGACTCCGACTGGTAAAAAAGATGATTGACTTTCTTAAGATCATCCAAGTACTTTCACGTTGTTGAGGTCTGCTCTCTGTTTTGCTAGGCAACATTGGGTGATCTGAAACACTAACCCCAGCAAAGTGAGATGAGAAGAGCAGTCCAAAATTCCAGTTCCAACTCCTATTTATGACTAGTATGAGCATGGGGCACTAATGGATCTCAGAAAAAAAAAATTAAACACACACACACACACACACACATACACACATACACACACCTCAGGATGCTTGGGGCCTAACTTTTAAAAAATAAATAAAACTTGGATGCTCCTTCCTTATGCCCTATCCTTCCAGAATCCTTTTCACTCTGATGGCTTTATGACTTGTTGGGGATTCAGAGATGAACTTGGGTTAAAAAAAGGTAAGCAATTGCTGCTTGGAAAACGGCTGCCTCCTAGGCAGGAATCATATTTTTTGAAGGATGGAGACATTCCCTGAGCTTTCCCTGCGTTTTATTATTTTTTTTTTGTATGGTCATTAGCTTAATCATACACTCAGGGAGAAAGCCCAGCCTTGGCTGACTACTGCGCAGGCGATCCAGGTAGGTGTGCTCATGTCATACACCTTAGGGCTGAGCATTTATACTCATCGATCTGCCCCCAAGGCCTTTTTTGGCAGGAAGTAGTAAGGGAAGGGTGCCCAGAGGTAGTTTTGCCCTTCACCAAGGCAAACTGAGAAATGTTTCATTTTAAACCTTCATTTTCCAGCTTTCAGATCTATCCTAACTCTGCCCATGTCTGAATTTTCTCAGATGAGAGTTTCTAAATTCCATAACCCCACCTGCCTGCCGAGTTAACTCCCCTCGCTGGCTGAGGCCATGGGCACACATGTCTGCACAGGGCTGCAGGAGGAACAAGGTCACAGGATCATACAGACTTGGAACTAGCAGGCCCCATGAGATCCAGGCAGGTGGCCTGAGCTCCCAGGGCGGAGCCCACAGGTGATAAAGAGTGAGGAATGGGAAGACCAACCGGCTGTTGCACCAGCATTGATTGTGTGCTAGTTCGGAGCAGAATGCCTGAATGGATGTGGCGCCTCGCGCCAGCGGTCTCTGAGCGAGCTCTGAAGGGATGCTCAATCCTCCCCATTTGGCGAGTGTTGGGGACGCCGGTGTTTCCCACGAGGAGCTTGCAGGATGCAGCGCGCGCCCACAGGCGTGCGTTCTGGGAACAAGAGGACGCAGGCACATCACTGCACAGTTCCCCGGAGCCGGAGAGCCCAGACCGAAACCGGACCCACCTGGGGAAAGTTCCTATGGCCCTCAGGGGCCCAGAGTCGCAGCTGTTGCAGTTGCAACCGCACGCAGGCTAGTTGCGAGCAAGGATATTCCGCCGCCTGGGATGCCAAGGAGGGCAGGGCAGGGTGGGGGGTGGTGACAGGTGTCCAGCCGGCGTTCGCACTTGCCCCATCCATCCCAGTGCACCCTCTTTTGTGTCTTCTACTAGGGTTCTCCTCTACGCAGCTCCCCTCCTAATGAGCGTGACAGAGGAGTGTGACCCCGAGCGGGGAAACCTTGGAAAGCTGGGACCAGTCAAGCAGAGTTGCTGGGAAGTGCGCCCCTTCCCACTTGGATGGATTCTGAGGGCTCGCCTAGCGGGTCCGAGGTTTCCAGTTTCGTTCTCCATCCACCACCCACCACCCACCACTCATCGGACTCCGCTGGCCAGAGGACGTGCTGGGTGAGGTGGAGGAGCGCCTGCAGGGCCAGGCAGTGAGCTGGAGGCGAAGACTCCTCTCCAGGCGCAGCTCTGGGCCCAGCGCAGACAGGCTGGCAAGCGCCCGCTGCTGACAGACGGATCGCGGGCCACACGGGGCGAGCAGGGATTCTCCTCGAGGTTTTAGATTTTTTTCTGGAGGTTTTAGATGTTCTTTCTGTATTCTCCCCTTGCCCAAACCCATGTTCTGAAGTCGATTTGGTTCTCTCTGTGATATCTCCGGATTCTTCCCTGAATCCTTCCGCACCCCATGCTCTTTTCTATTCTTAAGGACTTTGGAGATTTGAGATCTTTTCTGGAGGTTTAGGGGGACCCGCACCCCCATCCTTGATGATTCTCAGCCATCCAGGCTACTCCTAGGATATTCAAACCGGCCCAGCAGGAGACTGCACTGTCAGTTACTGGGCATTGAGGACTAGCCCACACCCCACCCACGATTCAAAGAGGGGGGCAAGTGTCATCCCCGTCTCAGTACGCGCGCATACACACACACACACACACACACACACACACACACACACACACACACACTCTCAACCCCCCATCCGCCCCCACACACACCACGTGCGCCTATGGGGGTGGGGATGGCACTTGCCCCCTCTTTGAATCGTGGGTGAGGTGTGGGGTAGTCCTCAATACTCACTAACTGACAGTGCAGTTCCTGGGTGTTGAGGGAGCATGTCTTCTGACTTAGTGGCCACTGGTCTTTCCCATGTTATCTCATCCTGCTGTTCCTACTGACAGCCATACTAACACACAATCCTAAAACATGTTGGAGTGGAATCCTTCATAGTCTTCCTCTTGGGTAGGTTGTGAAAATTAAACCACACACACACACACACACACACACACACACACACACTTTGAACAGTTCCTCAGAGGACAGAAAGTACCAGGTCTGGCTTTTGAACTGATGCACTTTTAACCTTCCTTGGAAATGTCCCCTTCCCCTAGAGATGCAAAAATACCTCCAAGAGATGCAGAAGACTTAGCCTGCTCAGAAGCTGAACTGGGAATGAAGTGAGAAGCAGGGCTACCTCCTTTCCTCTTCCAAATGCACGAGGCCTAAAGGCCT